CTTTCTGCAGGCTGTTTCCTGTGACAGACAGAGGAAGGGGTTGCACTTCAGCCTTGCACTATACACAAAGAGCTTGATAGGAAAGATATCAGTAGAGAGACAAATATTGTGACCTTACATCAGCAGTCTGAAGGTCATTAAATAAGCATCTGGATTAGTTAAAGTGTCTTAAATAAGTGTGCTTTCTTCATAAAGTCTATGTAATAAATTATATATAACATTTACATATAATGTATGGGAAAAAACATGGAAGACTGTTTCTGCTCAGAGTAAAAAAATATACCGGTATTGAACTGTGTTACAAGGTTTCAAATAATTAATCGGAAATAATTAAGTCTAATCTGTGAGACTGTTGTTTAAAATAAAATATTAAAATAAAATAAAAATAAAAATTACAAAAGCACAACAAATCTAAATTGAAATTAAAAAAGAAAACAGAAAAAACCCTGATTCAAAATATTTATAAATATTATCACAAATACATTTTGTTTTTTAAATTCTGAGAGGAAAATTGGCTTTGATATGGCTTTCACTTTTTAAAACAATTGTGGAATAAGGAGTCACAATAAAAATACACAGGTAAATGTTTAATTTGTGCTCTAATGTGAAAAAGGAAACCTAATGCTACTGACTTGCTTTCACGTACACCATATCACAAAGATTTTTTTTTTTACTTTAAGAAGTTGCAAAAATAGTCTTCACGAATCAAAAATTGGTGTGGAAACAATTTTCATTCAGAAATTTCACAAATAATTACAAAGATTTGGCAAGTAACACACTGAGTTAAATGTGAAATAGTGTTTTTTGTTTTTTTTTTATAATAATTTTTCTCCAAAAATGTTTGTTTTATTTACAACTTTGAAATAATATCAAAATAAATCCTGCAGTCGATTTCTACTTTATGTAGTTGATTGGATTGGTTTAGTTAGTTCCTAGTTATTCACAGCTGTGGGAATGGATAGATTTTAGAAAAAATAAGCTGGGCTGACTCAGAAAAGTTAGTTCTGAGAATAATGACATTTTTATTGTCCATACTTTTTTTAAGGCTACTGCATTCTGGATTTCATCACTTGCTCTAATGTTTTTTTTACAGTGTAAGGGTTTCTCTACCAACTCTAATTTTACTCTGACCTCTTAAGAAATAGGGCACAATAAAAAGGAACAATTGCTTAGGAACTATTGCTTTATTGCATCTTTATGCAATCATGTCTCTGTTGCTCTTTCAAGGGCATCTTACATGCGAACGCAAGGGAAATTGCCACACAAGCCGCTATCATGCATCTCCTAAAAAAATCACAATGAAAAACATAACCATGAGACATATCACTTGCTGACATTTGTGCCCAGTGGGTGGTGTGAAAGCACGGAGAGGTCGTACAGAGATTGGTAATGCTCTGATGGAGCACACAGGCTCTTATTATACAATACAAGGCCTAGTATTGTGAGGCTGAGTGGGGTGAGCCTCTCCTTAACCAAACCAGCTGATCATCTCACCATAGCATCACTAACAGCTGTCAGCCAGCCAACATTATGCCAAAATGCATTATTAAATTACCTAGGACCATAACATTAGCAGTGTAGCAACACTACTAACTTTACGTTTTTCACTTTCAACATTTATGATTTATGATTCATACCATTGAATCGATTCATCCTAAATGGCTGTGTATAGCACCAAGTCCGATTCATTATAGTGAATTGGTTAATCCTAAACAGTCCTTTCTCTCATATGAACTGCTGAAATGTTTGATTCATTCTAGTGAATCGGTTTATCACAAACAGCCCTCTCTCCTAAGTGTACCAATTACAAGTCCGATTCATTCCATTAAATCAATAAATCCTAAATGATACTCTCGCTCATATATAATCCCAAATTGAATTCGTTTTAGTGAATTGGTTTGTCCTAAATAGCCATTTCTCTCATACGAAGCACTGAATTGTTTGATTCACTCTAGTGAATCGGTTGACTATAAACGTCTCTCTCTCTTATGTGTGCCAGTTACAAGTCACTGAATCGGTTCATCCTAAATGCTTCTCTCTCTCTTCATATCCAGTATAGCACCAAGTCTGGTTCAATCCCAATTAATCGTTTCTTCCTAAACGGATCTCTCTGGAAAGGTTGATTCATTCTGGTGAATCGCTTCATTCTAAATGTCTCTTTTGTAGAGTTGGAAAGCCTGATTAATTTTAGTGAATCGGATCGTTCGGATGGTTCATGTAAATTAGCAGATTGTATGAATGATGCCAATTTATATAACGACTTTATTTCTTGACTGTATTATGTATTATGTTTTTGATTCAGTAATGTATATGAGATGAGGGTGTTTTATGAACTCATTTATTTAGCTGTATTTAGTATGTATTTACCTGTTCAATTTATAGTCACCCTAAATGAGACAATTCATTCTTTTAAAAACCCTTATTAAAAACACATATTTGATAAAATTATATAATTGCATAGTTATATTTTTTAATTATAAAAATTGCCTCAAGTAACTAAAGTGTTTTAGCTACTTTTTGTTTGTAGTGTAGCTTACGACTTTTTCTACTCTGCATTATGATTAGTTTCAAGGTAGTTTTCCCCAACCCTGATAAAAAAACTTCTCATGTATTTTTATTTTGTCCTTTTTGGTTCTTGATTGTTTTAGCATTTGTTCTCTTATGCTTAATGTGTATGTATTATTGAGTAAACACAAATTCAACAGGGAGATGTTGCCACAAATATGTATTAGTTTGATCAATTCATTTTAAGAAAATCACTGTCTTTTCAAATTAGTTTGACCATGAAGACTGATGAATCTGATAATCAGAGTGCACAAAACATTCTGCCACGTCTCACGCGTTTATGCCAGCATTGCATTTGTTTAGAAAGTTCTCTTGCGGGTGCCAAGATGTACGGGAGCACGTAAAGGGCAGATGTGCCCGGCCCAAGTCTAGATTGCCTGATCACAAAGTCACTCAATGCACCATGGCTGATCCAGCCAAACATTTTGAAACTGATTTATGCTTTTATGAGTCCCTTTATGATTTATGATGTTTTTATCCTTATGCCAGTCTGTCATGGTTGCACTGTTAATAGATTTCAGAGGAATAGTGACACAATAAGATAGAGCTTAACCTACCGTTAACGTTTTCCTCTGCATCATAATCTTTACATTCTCTAGTATACATGCATGTGGATTCTGTGAAGATGCTTTCTGGGTGAAACAACATAAATGGCTTGCTTTTAATGTTTTATTCATGCTGCATTTTGGTTGAAGCTTTAAAATTACATTTTAAGTCAGCTGCAAATCCCTCATTTAGTTGCTGGTTTATGTATCATGCAGATTTGCTCCTCTGACTGCCTGGCACAGTTTGCGTGCCTCACGCTGACCCATTTCACTTGAATGGACAGATGGTTGGACTGATATACCATAATGCCCCTCTGTAGCCAAAGCAGACATTTTGATTGGTATTACTGTGATTCTTACGTTTGCTTTGCTTTTTTCTATTCTTTGTGTCCACCCACCTGCATTACTTCAAAGGCTGGGTTTTTCCACAATTGCGGCTTGAACGGTTATAGAGTTGTATTGTTCACAGTTCAATGAACACAATATGAGAAACACTTTGGTTTGGAATGGTAAATGGGTTTCTACTTTCAAAAATGATCCATAATCAATCACACAGAATTAAGATGCGAGTATAAAGTGCATGTAAGATTTGTTGGGTAAATGCAAAAATTAAGAAAATGTAGTTCCTCTAAACACTATCTTTTGTGACTCTAGGAATTCAGGTTATATTGAAGTTTCAAACACTCACAATGCTTGAGAAGTGAACATTAAAACTCAGTGTCTTAAAAGGATCAGATATACTTTCCTAATAAGAGCAAAAATTCATGAACTGATAATCTTACCCAGACACTTTTTATGGGTCTAATACACTTTGAACCGCTATATTTGATAAGAATGATGTCATGTCTTATGGTACTGCCTGCATTAGCACTTAAAACACCAGTTTCAGCCAATGCTTGTACGATTTAAGAGGAGTTAAAGGCATAGCCTATTCCATCCAAAAATTTAAATTCACTCACCCACCTGACACTCCAAACCTGATTTTATTTGTTCCACAGAACACAAAAGATATTGTAAAGAATGTTGGTAACCACGGTTTACTTCCATTGCACATTTTGTCCATTTAACGCAGGTCAATGGGAACAGAAAACATTAGGTTTACCAGCATTCTTCAAAGCATGTTTTGCAAAATGTCTGAAAATTCTGCCATCATGTCATTCCAAACCTGTATGGTGTTCCATTTAAAACAAGTCTGGAACACTTAAAATTTAACACACACATTTTTGGTTGTATTATGCCTTTAAAACAGTCGGGAATTTGAGAACGGTGTCAGAATACTCGAAAAATGTCATGGTGTGCTGCAGAAGTCATACAGATTTGGAATGACAAGTTTGATTTTCAGGTGGACTTGGACTATCCCTTTAAATCGTTGCAAACAGGAGAACACCTAATGAATAGTCAAGCTCAAACCTGCCTTAAGACACATTCCTCACACACAGTGCAAGAGACGCAGCCCTTACGAAACTAGATTAGCAGTTACTCTCTAGCTCCATTCAGGATTAGATATATGACCCAGCCCTCCGGTAAATGTTGGCATCTTATTACACTTGAGAGGAGAGGAAATGCAAGGCAATACTTAGGAAGACAATGCAGAGACACAGTTTAAGTTAATGCTTTATTTAATAAGTCACTATATTATTACAGCATGATATAAAACTTGAAATCTTTTAGGACAACCCAGAAAAACAAAATACAAGTGGCATACTGACTCATATGGGCCCTGTTCAAACTAATACGACACATGACAAACACACATACTTGAGAACAGCACAAGTGGGAAATGAAAACAGAAGGCACGCCATTTCACATGGACAAGTGCACAAGAACAGCATTAATACATAAAAAAAAAAAATCCCCTCATTAAAAGGCATTGGCTGGCTAATAGAAAGAACTGAATTACCAGCATTCACATTCTTCTACAGCTTTAAATGACAATGTCAAGGGCTTTCTAACCTGGCATAGAGACTTAAAACAAAACCCAAAACTAAAGCCTAGCTGGAATAGATGCATGCTGCTGAAATGGTCAGTATAAAAACCTCATTACTCTCATAGCCCTTTAAGGTCTAAAGGAAACTTCCTGAAAGTACCAGATACCACCAGGACAGGCCACAGGACAACAGATTCAGGCAAGAAACCCTTTTTTGATGGCAGAGGGGAATCTAAAGCCCTTTAGGACCACTGCCACCCATTCACTTCCCAGTCCAACAGTTCAAGAGGAGTCCATTTTAATTCTAAACGAATCAATCCTATCGCAACAGGCTACCTCCACCGATTTCTCTCTTGTAACGATTCGTGAGGTCATCAGCCTGGACCGTCAGCTTGGACAGAACCGCAAACAGTCCATGGAGGTGGTAGTGGAACTGGCCCTCCAGGTCAGCACCCTCCTCTGCAGCTCCGCCATCCACCTGCAGCTCTTCGTGCTTCACTGCCATCTCTAGAAAGCTACCGCCCATCTCCCTCTTCAGCAGGCCCCACTCCATGTCGTTCTTGATGGACTTTAACAGCAGGTAGTGCTCATACATATCCCTCTGTTTGCTGGGGAAAGAGGGCTCGTTGTTATTGTGACTAACAGAGGCTTGGCTGTCTTGGTCCTCCAGAGGCACATCCCGCAGTAAGCTTGGCACCATGATGGTCTCGTCCATGTTGTTGGCAGCAGCAATGAACCGGTTCATGACGTTGAGCAGCGAGTGCTTGTTGCATTGTGTGTCGTTGCTGAGCTGCATCATGGCTAAAATGAAATTAAAGGGTACAATCTAAGTTACTAATCAATAGTGAAGCAAAACTGTTTTAGACTTTAATCTCTTGCAATAAGAGCAACTAGAACCTTTATAAATAAACGAATGCAACAAACCGTGTGAGCGACTTAAAATAAATAGTTTAAGGGTTTTTAATTGCGGTTTCACAAGTCCTAATTCAGTTGCTTCAGCCATGATTCACCTCGAACAGAAATTTAATTTGCATTTCTTTTAGACAATAAATAATCAGTCACACGTTTTAATAAACCGCCGTGTAATCAAACCAACACCGCGATTTCTCGGTTCAACGAGTTCACCCTAGAACCACTCAGATTCAGTGCGACCCGTCCGGTCCGGTTTTTAAGCGGTTCAACGGAATCAACTAAAAAGAACGATTTACTCGCACATTATTTTTTATTATCGTTAAAAATGAGAGAACGTTTTTGGTTTCTCGCCTCGCTAATACATAGCTAGACACATTGCATTGTCTCTTTAAAGCATCATCAATAACCAAACAATATTAAGCGATGTTTAAGACGAAACTCATCGGAAACACATGACCCTCAGATATTAAACTACTGCAGAGCGTAACGGTAAAGACCCAATCGTGGCCCGTTTACACATGACAGGCCTCACTGCAATGATAACGCAATAAATCTCAAAAAGGATTTAGAAGCAAATGACTAACCTGGATGTAACCGTTTACTGGACTGGAATAACCCAAAGAGAAACTATAAAGGATTAACGAAGCAGCCAATATTTTATACTGCTTCAATCGAGAAGAAAGTTGCTTTCTTCTGTGGGATCAGGCGATGGCCGACAAACTTTATACTATTGACGTCAGGCGGGGAAGCGTCATGTCCAATGGTGTACCGAGCTGCAAGTGATTGACAGGCCTTCGGACCAATCGAGCTTCAGTATTTCATCTGCGTTCGTGTATCTCGGTATCTTTTTCAAAATATCTCTTCACATGTGGGTGGGCAAATGGTGACATTTTCTTCACTTTTAACGCATTCTACTTAAATATGAGCTCTTGCTGGTAGTGATTGAAGAAATAGTGATATAACCAACAAACTACTATTTTCCCTCTATGGTCATTCAGTGTCGTATATATCAATTATGCGATCTGCAGCCCGCTTGATTTAAAACATGTTAGGACAGTAATTCAGATTTTTAATTATTAAAGATAGTAACGTTGCCTACATTTCTTTATATTAAACAACTGTCCCAAATGGCACACTTCACCCTTGTGGACCTCCTTTAGAATCCACGCTCTTCATTGGATTTACCCAGATTGCACATCGAGTACAGTTGTATACATAAAGATAGCGCCATCTGGTGGTTCTACGTCTGAAGCCTATGCTCATATATGCTCATATAAAAGAGTTTATTGTTCCTATGCATTTTACAGTTTACACAAAAAGAACAGGCTGTTGACAGTTTGTTGTCTTACAAAGATATAAATGTGTGCATGCCCCAAAAAGTAAACCCATATGCTGACAAAACTTATCTTTATCTTTCGACAAAAATGTGTCATTATGATTATGCTGGAGTGACGCGAGAAAAGAATTAACAGTTTTAAAAGTAATCTGGATTATACATCACCTTATTTTACTTACAAATGCAAGGATGTCATTAAATACTGTTCTACCCCTGTATAGATAACGCTGATATTTATAACTTTGTATGTACATGTTAAATATTGCTACCTGATTAACCTGGACCACAACAAATTTCACATTTTGTAGACAAAGTTAAAGAAACACTACAAATGTTCTCTTCAGCACATCACCGCCATGACATTCAACAACCTTACAACTAACACTACAGCTGCTACATTAATAAAGACTGCAGAGAAATTGCAAATAACCACATAATTTTCACAGAAGCAATCCAAATGGAAATGAAAATACATGTTTTAAAATAGTTATTGAAAATGAACTGCTGGTGACAAACAGAACTCCCTATGTAACATGTTGAGTGGATAACATCTTAAATGTCTCAAATTACTGTGAAGACATTCTCAAAAACATTCTTTTTGGCAAATGTTGAACTTTAGGTGCATGCAAGAAATGTTACTACTGTTTTTACTAGATGCAAAGTTTTAGCACGTGTTAATTCCAATTAAACAAATGTCAAGGTGTGCAGTACACTGTTTACTGCATAACTGACTGAATGTTCCTGGTGTAACTGGCTAAAACACATGCACTTTCTACAAACTTCTGTAATCACTGTTATATATACACTCTGGCAAAACAAATGCAAAATGAACGTATCCTTTTGGAATGGGTTCCTTCAGCTTGGACAATGTAGTTACCAACAAGAAATATTCTTTAAAAAGCAGTCAGAAATTCTCTAAAATTAAATGTTTAGCTAAGGCACACATACAAAACACTGAAACTAAATGTTTTCCCTTTTGTCAGGTTCAGCCCTCTGTGATCTCCAGTTGATACCCTGTAATCAGACAGAAGAACCCTTAAATGAAAACCTAGTAATTTTTTATCAATCAACATACTCATTAAATGACACGTAATAAAACAACACAAAATTGTGCCATTTTAAAGAGAACAGCCTAACGGGAAGAGTAAGAAAATATACCTGTGGATCACTACACCAGCTCATATTGGTTGTTGGTGATATAGCGAGACAGACAACATGCCAGGAATATCCCAATGAGCTGATGAGGAATTTAATGGAAAAATAGATATTATTACATGCATTACAGACTAGATTCATTTCAAAATACTATATGGACATGATGAGTACCTGGAAGAATGCAATTCCAAAAGAAATTCCAGCAATAATTCCAAGATTGGCCTCCAATGTTGCAGTCATCAGGGAGAAACAGCCCTACAAGAGAAGGATTTTTTTTTCTTCCAGAATTACGAAATAAGTCTAATGATATTTGTTGATTTAGGAGTGTTCAGAAGCAGCAAAGTTCTTACCCGTTGATATACCACTAATGCAGCCTTGTTAAGATCTTTAAGTTCTGCAGAAGTGCAGTTTCCACCAGAAGTCATGTTACAGCAGCTTTTGGGGATACCCTCGCTTTTGAAGTAATCCGTGTTTGCCCAGCTGGTGTAGTTCTTCTCTCCACAGCATTGCAGCTAAAAATGACAAAACAAATTACATTCCTCAAAATAATATTTAAACAGATAAGTGATGTTTGATGTAATCCTGATGTTTTGTACAGCTCCCAATAAAACAAATACATGCTTACTGTTCTCTGGATTCTGTCCAGATCTTCATTGTTCTTACCACTGTAGACTGATTCAGCTTTATTATAGGCACCTTGAAGCACTGCTTTAATCTTAAAAAAAAACAAAAAAACTAAGTGGAAACATTATTTGGCTTACACAGCAGATAGTATACGAAATACTGTAAGTAAAAAAAAAAAAAAAAAAAAAAACTGTAGACTGATTCAGCTTTATTATAGGCACCTTGAAGCACTGCTTTAATCTTAAAAAAAAACAAAAAAACTAAGTGGAAACATTATTTGGCTTACACAGCAGATAGTATACGAAATACTGTAAGTAAAAAAAAAAAAAAAAAAGAATTACCTCATGTCTGAAAATAAAGCCGGATATACCTGCCACTAGTTCAGCTAAGAACACAAGCGTCAGGAACATAGCATACTACAAAGGAGGGGGAAAAGAAAAAATGCTTAAAAACATAATACAAAACATAATGAAATTTCAGCAAATAGGGTACAAAATAAGGCCTGAAAACCAAAGTTGTTCTGTTGTTCTGTAAGTTATTAATAAACTTTCTCATGTATTAAATAATTTTTTTTCTTACTTTAGTAACAGGGTCGAAGTCTGAAAAGACCATTTTTTTAAGGGGACATCAAATGCAAACAAGCAACTTTTCATGATACGTCAGTTTTGTGTCATATAAGACACACAAAAAAAGAACGTAAGCATTCAAAGTTTACCGTATTTATAGAATGTGCTGTAACTACTCCCACATTTATGAATTTTATCACTCTCAGTTTTGAAATCGTGTGACATCTCTAGAACTGACCAGCTTCAGCATCCATGGACTTCCACGGCAGGTCGCGAAGCAACCGAACAACCCGAAGATGATGATGATGGCTCCGGTCCCAATGAGGACATATGGTGCATTGGTGCCCTTGTCTGAATTCAGGAGGAGGTCGAACTCCAAATTAACCTTTCCCCATACTCCAACAGCCAACAAGATCACTCCTGTGAACTACAAGAAAAGTTAAAGACTCTCAGACATATTCGATAAGTGTTTATGGATTTGCCTGAGAGATTATTGCACTGTGTCTTGCCCATCCCCATTCTTAATACTACCCTTGCAAACCTTGTAATTACACTTCAGCTTCAAAACTCGGACAGTTTAGAGCATTGAATAAAAACAGGGAATCTGGGAATGCTCAAGTTCCCAGACAACTGTTGTGAGCAAATATAAGCCTTGACCTATTTAGAAACTGGTCAAAATAAAGCCAAGTCAAGTCACTTTGTATAGCGTTTTTCACAAATATACATTGTTTAAAGTGGCTTTACAGAAGAGCATGATGTTAATGTTTATAATTTCTTAGTATGTTTCATAGTCACATTTAGCAGATTAGAACTGGAAGATAATTTAGTTTACATTTTGTGACACTAATCATGCAGTTGAGATTTACTATATAGTATATATCATAAAGTTAAATGTATGTATGCGGATGAAGATGGATATAGTTATAGTAGACTGTAGATTTAGGTTATGTTATGATATTGATGACTTTGAAACCTGTTAGGTTTTGTCCAATTTATATTAATTTGGAGTAGTGACAAGCCTATTTACTATTTGGTGATGTGTATTACTGCCAAGGGTAAATAAATGAGAGTTATCATTTTGATCATAAGCAACTGATTGTGTCTGAATCTTGGACTATCCACTTTATAAACATGACCATCTGTCCCGTCTGCTGAAAATCACAGTGAACAGCAATAAACAGTGGAGATAAAAGTGCTGCAACGGACTTCGCACCCATTTAGGCCACGTTTGATGAACTGTTTATATCAGTTTCCTTATTGAATCTCTGTATAGATCAATATATTTGAACAGCTTTCAAAACAGCTGACTATTCTTCCCAAAGTACATAAGGCTGCAAAGTTTCGTATTTCTTAGTATGGAATAAATTTTAACCTATATCCTAAAATTAATGTTTTACTTCATACTTTTTGTATATAAGTTTAAAATGCTGGGAAAATCTAAAATTATACGACGCATCCTTAAGCAAGCCGGTAACAATAAAAGGTAATCGAGAGGATCTAACATATGTACATCTTTTTGTAAGTCTTTTGCTAATCAAAAGATAAATACATACCTAAATAAAGTATCTTTAATAATGCATCTTATTTTGCATAAAGAAAACATGGCTAGTTAAAAATCGAAACTAGGATTAAACTGAGTTAGAACTGCTCGCTGACTGATCCCATTGTTCAGAGCGAGTTAGCCGTGCTGATAGCCGCCTTTAGCTAACGGCAAATCTGATGAAAACACAAACTCACCCAGAAAATCAGACTGTACGAGATCAGAAATGTCTTCAGACACGTTATCACGGGTTTGGTTTGAAGCCGTGCGGACGGAGGGGACATTTCTGCTTTTGTTTTCCCCGCGGATCTGACTGGCGACGGGACTTTTCGATGGATGCTGGAGGAAAAGTTTGGGATTGGAGTGTGAGTTGGTAAAGTTTGTTTGGGAACTGAACAGATGATACTGTGGCGCAGGGTTGCCAGGGTGTCACAAGAAAACCCGCCCAATCGCTACTCAAAACTAGAGGGGTCCCCAGTTCAAAATCGCGTTCC